GGGTTCTGGGAATTGAACTTGGGTCTTTTGCAAGAGCAACAAGTGTTCTTAACCACTGAGCTTTCTAGGACCTTCTGTTTCTTTTATATCTTGTCAAATATCAAAACCAGAGCAAAGCCATTTGGTGACTACTTAAAGAAACTGAATACCTAAAGCAACCACATATCACCTGCCCACAACATGCTCTCATTCAACCATAGTGAATTCCCATTACCAGTATCTACTTTCCCTCAGCTCACATTGAGAACTTTTACCTTCACAACTTCCCAAGTTTACCTCAGGCTTAACTATTTTCTAAATCTTAAACTAACTTCCCTTATGTGCATTTCTTCACATGGTAAGATACACTTCATTGTCTTTGAAGAATCCACATTTACACCATTCCCAGAGCATCACATTTACACCATAACACAGTGCCACTACCCAGGTATTTGTTTAGTTATTTCTTCCACTCAAAGACAGGGACTTTTGTATAGCCAGTGTATAGGACAGTACTAGACATTTACTAGACAGACAGAGAGGTACTTAATCACTGTGGTAAAAAAAATAGAAATAAGAGACACAATGGAAAATACAAAGGAATTAACCCTCATAAGAATGAGGAGTAGGGCCAGGTGGGAGGCAGGAGCTCAACACCAGCCTGGTCTACAAAGTGAGTTCCAGGACAGTCAGGGCTACACAGAGAAAACCTGTCTCAAAAACAAACAAGCAAACAAACAAACAAAAAAGTGTGAGGAGCAGGGACTGGAGAAAATGAATATGGATGTGCTGAAAAGCAAGGAGTTTAAGTACATGCAGTAGGGTAGCTTAAATTCTCAAATGTCCTTTATGTACTCTGCATGGCCACAAAGTTTTCAGTGTAAGCAGATGTGCTTATTAGTTAAATAATCTGTTTTATAATGATAGAACTATTAAAGAAGCAAGAGATAAACTTATTCTCACTTATTTTTCAAAGGTAAAAAAAATGGCTCCAAAATAGTGTCAGGGTCCATAAAAATGGATTCACTTCATCTTGGCTTAAGGTCAGAGTTCAAAATTATCCTTACTCTTCCAAGGTTAAAGTCATAAGACCTAAAGATCTAAGGCATGGCTACTGTAGGATGTTTGGTCTTGGTGGTGGATGTCTTATCTAAATAACTTGGTCTGAGGTGTGGTTACTCTTAACCCTCAAGGCCAGATAACAAGAAATTTAGTTTAAGGCGTGGTTGTCAAATGTTTGGAGAATTAAGGAAGAAGGTTTGTTCCTTCCTTGTATCTTGATAAAGAAGTCTTTTGCCATGTTCCTCTTTTTGGTTGGGGTATTCAACAATGTTGAAGAATAAACTCAGCACATTCATTAATCACTGGATTGCCCTCCTGACTCTGTTCTGTGTCTCTCTCTTTCTCTCCTCCTTAGCATCTTTACCTGGATTTTGCAATCCACACTCTCCCTTTCAGGTATGACGAACCGGGCAAAGTTGGCTGGATTCTACTGAAGCCCCACAAAGACAGGTTACAACAAAATAGGTGCTAGGGCTTGTCATTTATCATGCAAAACAAATATCCAAGTGCTCACCTGCACCCAACAACTCCCTTGCTTCCCTAGAAGCTAACCAAGATAGGAAAACCATTAAGTTCAAGGGGCACTCTACACCTTGTTTGTACTTTCTACCTGCTTTTATGGTCATCTCTACATCAATATCAATAGACAACCAGAATCGAAGAAAGACAACATCTAAGATGCAAAGAGCACCTCAGATCCACCCATCTTAAATGTGTCAAGGCAGCAACACAGTAAGGATATTCCCACGTTCCAATCATATACTGCAAAACAATTATAGTCATACTATATTTCATTTCCTACAAGTATCAGCAAGTACATCTTTTATGTTGATAATATTCTATAACTGTACTCATATTGGTACATTTTAGAAAGCATTGGTATAATTGCCAACAAATGTCTCTGGAGTTGGCTGTTTGAATGCAAATGGTTAGATGGTCAGAAATCAAATTTCTGTTTGGGGCATTGGTAGAAATTTCTAACAGCAAAAAGTGATCTCACCCATTGTTTTCTGTTTTGTTTTGTTTCTACCAAAGAAATACTTGAAACATTTGATAAGGATTTTCTAGTCAGAATTGTCAATGAGTGTCTTGCAGCAATCACTTAATGATTGTATCAGCTTGTGCTTCCATTCCATTTCACTAATAGTGAATGGTGGAGTAAAAATAGCACTAGACTGGGAGTCAAATGATATCTTTTAATATTAGATCTGCCAGGGACCAGCTGTCCTATTCTGGGTGTATCACTCTCCCTACAATAGCATCAGTTCTCCTGTGTATAAAATGAGCAAACAAAAATAGGTCAGTACTCCTTTGGAGCCCTGTGTTAACAATTTCATATATTCTGGGTATGATTTCATATGCCAGAAAAAGCTCCAATGATTGAAAAAATGTTCTCCAGTTTCTAAACTGGAACTCTTCATGGTTACTTCCTGCTTAATTATCGGTCCTCCATTGTTTTTTAACAGTGCAAAGACATGGTATACTAACTTCAATACATGAACAGTTTCTGCAAATTGGCTAGCAAATAAAAGGTTCCTTTCTGGGACTGAAAGAAAATAATGAATAGGGAAGACCACCTCATAAAATCTTATGATATTAAAAGACAGTTTGTTAATGTACTGCTGATGAATTTCCAGTGTCAATTCATTTTGTGTCTGGACAAACTACGATTATATATAAGCTACATTATGACAAATAATATCATAACAAACCAGGATGGGAGAGTATTTTAGGGATTCTAGAAAAAACAACATGTGACAACGTGTCGGGTGAATCAATGTTCTGATTCTAAAAATAAATCCAAGTTCTCTAGGCTGGAATATTTCTTTAGTGGAGAAAAACATTGTGTTATGTTACGTTGGGTTGGTAGGCAGGTCTCCTGAGAACCTCATGTTCCCTTTGACTCACCTTTGTATCCACAAAGTAATATCCTGATACATCATTTCATTTCCAGGGTAAACTTGCAACCAAGAAAACGTGCCCTATGCAAAAGCCACACTTCTGGAAGCAATTCTTACAAACTAGAAACCAGGTCTGGTAAGCTCAAGTATGTCTCAGTTTGATGAGGATAGGGATACTGAGAAAACTGATTTTCTGTCTGAGAAACCTAAATCGGGCCCCAGGATCTGAAGTGACCACACCAATAAGGACCTTCCTGAAATGGCCATTACCCGAGGAACTCCTCTTGTCCCCTCAACAAAACTGCAATATAACAGATTTGGTTCTTAGAGTTCAGCACCAGTGACATAAGGACATTTTCTGCCAGGTAGTGGTGGTGCACGCCTTTAGTCCCAGCACTCAGGAGGCAGAGGCAGGTGGATCTCTCTGAGTTCGAGACCAGCCTGGTCTACAAGAGCTAGTTCCAGGACAGCCTCCAAAGTCACAGAGAAATCCTGTCTTGAAAAATCCTCCCTCCCCCCAAAAAAAGAAAAGAAAAAAGGACATTTTCTGACATATTAACCTTATCATCATCATTTTTCCACTTAAGGCCCAGAGTTTACTAACTAACCTGTCAGGTGCCTCAACCTCAACGAACAATTGGTAAGTACCTTCTTTGTAAAAGGCATCAGCTTTAGGTGAAACTTGATGAAAACAAATACCCTTCATTACCATTAATCAACAAATGAACTATTGAAAATAAAATGTGAAATCCTTTCTCCTAAGGATAGATTCACAGCTTATTTCAAACTCCCAAGAACATAACA